ATATTCCAAGTTCTTGTGGTCGCTGAGGATTGTAAATGGTTTAGCAACTGACATCAGTTCTGGCTTCCACTCTCGCAAACAAGCTACAATTGAATGCATCTCTTTGTCGTGAATTGGATAATTTGCCTCTGCACTTGTTAACCTCTTCGAAAAATAGGCCACCGGCCTTATCCGTCCTTGGTTGTCAGTTTGCGAAAGACAACCACCTATTGCGTAGCCCGAACTATCAGCTTCTACAATTGTTTCACGATCTGGGTCCCATTGAGCTAAAACAGGTTCTGACGCAAAAACTTTCTTTAGCTTTTCAAACGCATTGTTTTCTTCACGATCCCATTTCCACCCAACATTATTTTTCGTCAAATTAGTCAAGGGTGCGGCAATATCTGAAAATCCTTCAACAAAGCAGCGGTAGAAATTAGCAAAGCCAAGAAATGACCTCACACCTTTCACAGTTGTTGGCGCATTCCATTCTAGAATAGCCTTGACTTTAGTAGGATCAACAGCCACACCCTCACCAGCCTTCACAATAAAACCTAGATATTTGACCTGTTTTTGTAGAAATTCACACTTATCAATGTCGAGAAAAAGTCCAGCCTTTTCAAGTTTTCGAAGTATACTACGAACTGTCTCCCAGTGTCCTTCCTCACTACCGTCTGTGTAAGCCAGGATATCATCAACATAAGCCGTCGCATCTAGATCAAGATGCTCTCGTAGATGTTCGTTAATATATCTCTGAAAAGAGGCGGGTGCGTTAATCAGACCAAAAGGCGTAACCAACCATTCGAATAATCCTAGTCGGCAGCGAAATGCTGTCATCCATTCATCCCCCTCACGAACTCTCATGCGATGGAAAGCCGATTTAACATCTAGCTTTGTAAAATAACGAGCCTTGGATAACTGTCGCAGGGTTTCTTTAAACAGGGGAAGTGGGTAGCGATCCGGTACTGTAATAGCGTTAAGTCCACGATAATCCACACAAAACCGTAAACCCCCATTTGGCTTCTTTGCAAAAAGTACTGGTGATGCGGCTGCCGAACTGCTGGGTCTAATCCAACCCTTGTCGAGCAGTTCTGTCAATGTTTTCCGCAAGACAAGGAGCTCTTCTCTCGACATACTGTACAAAGGTCCCCATGGAGGCTGTAGAGCCTTTCCATTTTCGTGGCGTAGATTTATGGCATGATCTAAGTTGTCCCGCGGCTGTGGCAAGTCGTTTGCTCCGTTATCGTCTGCAAAGAGATGGGCAAATTCTTTCACTGGGTCCGGAAGGCGTGCTCTAGCTTCCTCTGTCGTAAGGCATGGTTTTGTCCGTAGTGCTTTATTAATATCCTCTATTGAGGCCCTGCATACGGGAATAGTTTTGACCATTGAAGACATAAGCTCTATCGAGGCTACCCTAGGTTCCTTTACGCCTAAAAACTTCTGGCGCCAACGTTTTACGCTATAAACCGATGCACCGCATTTCCTGAGCTCTAAACGTTGCTCCTTAGAATGTATTACTGCATCCTGATCTTCCAACCATTTTTTTCCAAGAATCAACTGGTGTGTACTGGAAGGAACTACATATAGCCAAAGCTTTTTTGTAACATTTCCGTCAAGGTCAATTGAAATGTATGTTATATCTTTTACCATCGGTTTCCCCTTCGAAGAGCTCTCCACTGTCTGAAGAGGTCGTGGAGAAATTGACTTTCGAGGCAAACATAGTTTTGTTACTAATGAGTCCTCAATAATCCCTGAACACAGACATCCATTGTCTATCAATGCTTGTACCATATTTACGTCGTTTATCAGCACATTAACCAGAAATGGTTTCGTGTTCATACTAAATTCCAGTCCTATATTCTTAGCCGCTTTTGTCGGATCATAGCTCGATGATGTGAGTGATGATATGAATGCGTGGTTACTTCTCTTCTCATTTTTTTCTTCTAATTTCGCTATTTTTTCGGGAAGGATAGTTGCTAGCTTTTTGAACTTAGGATTTATTGCTGGGAGTAAAAAACAATCATTGGTACTGCACCCTTGTCGCTCGCATCTAAAACATCTGCATTCCATTTTGAGCTTATCAATTTGATCTACTGTCTTCCATATAGCTCGTAGAGGCCTGCCGTTAGGTCCCAACGTCGCTTTCACTGGGCGAGCAACGTCTTTTTCGTGAAAAGTGCCTCCCAATGGAAGAAGAGGGCAGACTCTAGCATAGCAGCCTTGTTTTTCACACCTAAAACATCTGTTTTCTTGACGAAGTTCTTCAATTTTTGTTGCTGATTTCCATTGTGCTTTCAAATTATTGGCTCTTGGAACTTGAGCCGACTGCATTTTTCGTGGTGTTAAAGTTTTATGCTTTATCTCTCGTCGTATCTCTAGTCGTCGTATCTCTCGACGCAATATCTCTTGTAGTATTCCTCGTCGTTGTATTGCTCGTCGTCGTATCTCTAGTCGTCGTACCTCTCGACGCAATATCTCTCGTCGTATTCCTCGTCGTCGTATGTCTCCTCGTCGTATGTCTCGTCGTCGTATGTCTCGTCGTCGTATGTCTCGTCGTCGTACCTTTCGTAACTGGAGATAGATGAATTATATGTCACAGTTTGAATATAGAAAGCGAATGGGCATTTGTATGATTGAAAGGTAAAGCTATAATTCATCTATGTAGAAGCAAACTACCTACAAGTCTCCTCTACTACTTATACACATCCAGAGGTATCTAAATCTAGCCTACGTTTACAGTGGCAATGAAACTGACGTAAGGTTTGTTCTGCCACACGGGTAACGCTTCCGATACTCTTGGCACTATCCTTTACGTAGCCTCAGTGGCGATCTCATATCAGTTTTCGTCTGCTGATAATCCTCGGAGTGATAGATAATCTAGGTTGCCTTCGATAGCCATCGAAGGCTACAGGGCTTATCGGCTCACAAGCCGTCACATTTGGGGAGAGACTTGGCCTGCTTCGGTGGTGGTGCAGTAACAGTCTTCTTTGTCAGGGTAGTCTGAGCCGCTAGAATGAGGTTTCGGGAAGCTGCCGTCGCGTACGTCTGCTTCTGAGAGGTATCGGGACGGTTCTGGTGAGTTGCCGGCCCGGCGCTTCGATTGGTTGTTTGAGGATTTTTACCTGTAGTTGTCTGATCGAATACAGATAGGCCAGCGATGACCCTAGCAGCACTACGAGTGACGATTGCCTTGAGATCTGCAGCTATTGCAGGTGGGAGGGAGCGGAGATGGATAGCCCCGGCATTTTGCCAGGCTAGAAGGGTAGTGGCTAGTTCGTTAGTGGTGGCCGATGATGGGTTGGCCACAGAGCGCTGTACAGCCGCGGCTGGGGCAGGCGCTTGCCTTGTGTTTCTGGTAGCTTGGCCGCTCGAAGGGGGGTGGGTTGCTACCGCAAAAATGGATGAAGCAAGGCCTTGATCCTGAGTTGACAAGATCTTCGGAACTTTGGGCGTAGTCCGCTGTAAAGGGACGGACGGAATATGGCTGTTTGACGGCGGCTGAGACAAAATCTGCAGCGCGTCATCTTCTGCCTCGAGGTCCATGTATTCATCCTCAGAATCTATGTGCATGTCTAGAGGGGCGGGGGGAACTTGATTTAGTTCAACAGGCATCCGAGGTTCCGCGATGACTGTTGGGGATGATTGTTTATTACGCTTTGTAATGCGCGTGGATGAGGCAGCCCCTACTGGGCTGGGGTTGAGCTTTTTCCTCCGCCTTAAAGCAGGCATTGTCGCCGACTTGACGGTCAGTTTCCAGTTGTGTATCTATCGTAAATGGTATGGGTTCGTCGGTAGCGTTCGGATTCGAATGAAGTAGAACTGATGTGAACGGAGTATTATATGTTGAAAGTCATGCATTAAATCAGTAATTGTATCACGTGTCTCGCTTAGAATTTCACACTTTCCGTAATTGTGAAGTGTGAAGTGCGTAGATAATTGTAAGAACAAGAAAACAAGCACCAATAGTTGTAGTTATAATGCACACAATAAATTACATATATATTTATATTATAAGGAATCTGATTTCGAGAGCAAGTACCCACACGCAGCTAAATATATAGCTGGTATGCAGTATACTCTTAACTCCACTGTCGCATAAATTACAACATGATACATTATTAATTCAAATTGAGAAGAGAGTTTGATATCATATACAACTATCAATAAATTCTTGTCCGAAATTGTACACTTGTTCTTCGAGATATTTCGTCCTTGAAATCCTTGACAATTTCTAACACTATTCAGCCGCAAAAAAACGGTTCTTGGTAACAGTAAATTATTTAAGGGCAAAGAGCACTCCAAGCGTATAGTTGAAAAAATTATTATGAGGAGTGGCGTTGTGTATAGGATTATTTGTACTGGACAAGAATATCCTTGTCATGTAGGTAGAAAGGTCCCACACATTCATTGTGGTCATCATCTGAAAAAATACAGTAGTTGTTCTGGAGCAAAATCTCACAGAGATCTCGTTACAGGATCGAAACTTGATGCAATTTCGGATATCGGCATATAAAAATTGCTTTGCATGTCAGACCAGGATCAGAACTTGATGAAATCAATATTCCTGACTTGATGTTTCGTGTCATGTAAATTCCATTCTTCATACATGATCGTATCATCATTGTCAGAATACTATGCCAAGCTGGTACCTGACATAATTTGTGATTGCCTCAGGAAAACCTTGGCGTTTTCGGTAATTTTCAGCTAGAAAATACTTGGCGTCCGTGTAACAGACGTGGTGGACTGGTATTGAGTCGGTTTAGGATTACATCTTGGCTACAACATGTTTGGATTGTATCCTGTGATGTAAGTAAGCTATTTCTAGATATTATCATCTTACGTCAGGTAGTAGATATGTGTAGATAAATAAGCTGAGAGAAAGAGGAAGGAAGATAGACAGACAGACAATTACATCCTTTTATTTACTTTAACTGAAACCCCCTGTGGGAGCTTTTCTTCTAGATACCTCTAATCTCAATCATTAAAGCTTACGAACCAGCTTAAAAGGTTCGATATTGCGTTTATACCTTCGTTTCTGGATCGATTTTTCTTTGCCTCTTCGGAGGTGGGAGCATTTGTTCCTTTGAATTACCGTAGTTGCCAAAATTCGCTATCAGATTGAGTGTCTGCTTATCTTCAAACTGGCTCGTAGATAGATGAGTATATTTTGCTAAACCGGGCCTTTGGATAATTCTTGTGCAAGGAAGGTGAGGGCCTGCAGTCTGTCTTATAATAGAGATAAAATTGCAGTGATTGTCGAAAAGAATTACATAGTTCCCTACTACTATTTATTAAGTCATTGCTATTGCAAAAGTAGCACTGTACATACCATTTCGGGAAATCTCGGGCAGTCTCAAGGGCCATGCCCAAGTATCCAGGCGGTTCGTATCATTCGAGTCATACAGCATTGGATATACTGCCCGCGAAGTGGTGCCCTTTAGTTTTGACTCTAATGCCATGCAGGCCATGTTTAGATGACTCCTCAATGTTGAGGCTGAAAAATATAATCCTTGATTATTTATACTACTAAGTTCTTCGTGATGTCTTGCTTCTCTTCTAAATGAGAGAAATGCAGCATTATACGCTGCATCAAGACTTCGTAATTCAGCAAGGATTTTCCAATCTTTCCCCGACTTTCGAATAATACCATGTACTTCAAAATCAGACCCAACTAACAGATAACGATAAGACATAACTTTTGCTGCATGAGTATTAGAAATAAATCATAAGAGAAAGGTTCTCAACCAACCACTCCGAACTATTCCTTTCTCAAAAATCAAAGTGGCATACAAAAGCCACTTTTGATGATAAGTTCGACAAGTCTAAATGACCAATTGATACATCATTGATGGCTCTGCAATCTTCGCGAACTTTTTTATTCGATTTCAAGAATTCCTTGATTTGACTCATGACATATATTTCATTATAAAACCTGAATCCGAAATGTGGAAGTGCTGTCCACGCTACATGATAAATTTCTTTCATAGAAGTCTCCGGGGAACCCTCATTATCTATGAGATGCAGACATCTCTCATGCACGTCAGATGTGACTCGAATTACACCAGCTAATTGGCAAGTAGAATCCATGACCACACGGTTAGGGCTAGTTTTGACTAAGACTCGAATTAGTCGCTTGAGAAACCAGGCCATTGAGTATTGAGTGGATAAACTACATCATCAGTAAGTCATAAACATACCTTGAACGTCTCTATTCTCTTTCTTATAAACTGGCCACGTAAAGTACACAGCATCTTTGATACCAAACATATCAGAGTCTGGAAATGATGCTGCTGAGTAACTTAAATAATGGACATAACCCATTCTCTCACAACCAAGTCGAACGGCATCATCTGCCTCTGATTTTGGAATAAAGTCATTCCTGCACTTGAAAAACTCTCTGCTCGATGGATTTTCCGACTTCACTGCTGATAGTAAAGAAAAAGTGGCTAAAATGCCAAACCATAAGCGTGTCACCATCGTAGCGCGAAGAAATCCTCGATTTGTAAGTTTGATATCACAAAGTACAGGAGAATAAAGCGGAGTTTGTTTTTGAAAATATTGGAGTTAGACACAGCGTTTAATGATAGTGCAATAAATTAATATCTAGTAATTGAGACTGACACAAACTTCTAGTACATGCGAAGAAATTAACCCAAAATCGAGCCGCACACACTTACCGTGACATCTAGGCATAGATGGATTTGGAGGCTCCAACTGTGATGAGTCAGAATGAGATTGAAGGTAAGGATGCATAGAAAATATAAAAGTCAAGAAGGTAAGATTAAAAAATAAAATTTGCAAAGCACACCGAAGTGACATGACTAAGGATGGATTAGATCAACAGAACTCAGAAAACTAACTCCTTCACTCGACGCATGTATTGAAGTATGTGATGGAAATGGTAGACTCGTCTTTTTCCAGATCATATCTAGGCTGTCTCTGAAGATTTGAAAACCTTTACAGGAAACTCATTTGCTAGTTGTGCCTGGATAAACACCCTTTCCAAGAGTTCATCTTTGCCGGAACCGGATCTTTCAATTGTTCTCTGTATTTAATCACTATTAAAATTAGAATAATAATGTAGGTGAGCAGGTCACAGTTGAAAATTGTGGAATCAAATAGTCAATGGCTCTTATTTTACAGGTAATTTATTTGAATCGGTCGCTTCTGTAGTGAGCTGCAAAAAAATTATTCTGACCTCTATTGCACTACCTGAGTCTGTGCCTGGGAGGGCAAGACTGAACACCTGTCAGTGGTGCTCTCTACGAACCTGGGAGTGGAATATTCTCCCAGAGCCAAGTTCAGTCAAATTTCGCAATATCAAAGAAGTTGGCCCACGAGGCGAAAATTCAAATTACTACACCATGTCAATCTTTCACTCCCAAAGAGTCCGATTCTCAACTAAGCTTCATCAAGTCTATAAGTACGACCTAGTACATCCTCGTTTCAATGACCACACCTCTCGTCGACTTTCTCTGGCCTCAGCCGGTCACCAAATACACGCCCACGCCGATATTTACACCCGACGGAGGAAGCAAAGCGTGGAGCACAATTTTGGGAGATAGCTCTTTGGGACGGACGTGAGAGGGATCAGGACAAGTTTACAAGATGATGCAGAAGAGGGATACATTCTCGACGGGCGTGAAATTCCGAATTTTGGCAAGGAGTTTTACGGATTGAGCTTTGTGCGCGCCAAGACTTCGCTTGCGAGAGTGCAGCTGACACTATAAAAACAAGCCGACGATGGAAGGTGTTGTGGTCCGCCTCCTGGTGGTGTTCTCTGGTATGGTTTGAGTAGCCTGGGCACCTACTCCACCTGGGAAGGAGACATCTCAGATCACATATCGCGCGGAGAAAAGTTGAAAGATGATGGAGGCATGTCTGGATAACTCAGGGTTTTTGAGACGTTCCCCTGGGTGGGTATTTACGGATGAGGGGTGACTTGGGGTGAAGAAAAAGCCACCATAACTTCGCAGTGGTACTTGCAAATGAAATCTGAGGCATGAGTGCTCCTTTTATAAACTGAGTCATCTTTTCTGTACTTTTCTCTGATATTGTGTCATAGCTAGATAGCTGCATACGCAATTAAAATCTGATGCAAAAAAAAAAAAAAAAGAGTCTGTGCCTGTCCGGTATATCGGGCTTCTCCACAAGACAAGCTACGCCTTTTGGGGTGCTGGGAGTCCCAAAGCTAAGGTAATCAGAAGCTAGGGACGTGCGATGTGTGGCCGCGGAGGGCAAGACTTAACACCTGTACGCGGTGTCCTCTACGAACCTAGGAGTGAAATATTCTCCCAGAGCCAAGTTCAGTCAAATTTCGCAATATCAAAGAAGTTGGCCCACGAGGCAAAAATCCAAATTACTCCTCCATGTCGTTATTTCGCTCCCAACGAGTTTGACTCCTATCTTCGTCTCATCAAGTCTATAAGTACGACCAAGTACATCCTCGTTTCAATGACCACACCTCTCGTCGACTTTCTCTGGCCTCAGCCGGTCACCAAATACACGCCCACGCCGATATTTACACCCGACGGAGGAAGCAAAGCGTGGAGCACAAATCTGGGAGATAGCTCTTTGAGATGGACTTGAGAGGAATCAGGATAAGTCGACATGATGATACGAAGGAAGGATAAAACCTCGACGGGCGTGAAATTTCGAAGTTTGGCAAGAGTTTTACGCATTGAGATTTGTGCGCGCCAAGACTTCGCTTGTGAGAGTGCAGCTGACACTATAAACACAAGCCAACGATGGAAGGTGTTGTGGTCCGCCTCCTGGTGGTGTTCTCTGGTATGGTTTGAGTAGCCTGGGCACCTACTCCACCTGGGAAGGAGACATCTCAGATCACATATCGCGCGGAGAAAATTTGAAAGATGATGGAGGCATGTCTGGATAACTCGGGGTTTTTGAGACGTTCCCCTGGGTGGGTATTCACGGATGAGGGTTGACTTGGGGTGAAGAAAAAGCCACCATAACTTCGCAGTGGTACTTGCAAATGAAATCCGAGGCATGAGTGCTCTTCTTGTAAATTGAGTCATCTATCATACACTTCTCTGATATTGTGTCATAGCTAGATAGCTGCATACGCAATTAAAATCTGATGCAAAAAAAAAAAAAGATGTGTGGCCGCTAGTGGATGGATACAGGATCGCCACACAAGGGCAACATAGCATGTAATAAATAAAATGTGGTAGGGCCCAAAGTAGCATAGCCATGCAGATAAGAAGTGAGCACATTGGGTTCAACTCTTCTCTGCATAGAAGACACGTTCCCGGAGAAGATAGCCCACGATGCCAATGTGGATATCCGTCCCAGAATGTCAAGCACATGATAATGGCTTATCCCGTCCAAGCTAAAGAGAGAGGGGAGAGACTGAGAAAAGCAGTCTCAGTCATTCGAAGCGATGCTGAATAACCCGAAAGATATAGCTAGAATTACAAAGTGGACACAAAAGGAAGGAAGGAAGGCTAGAGCAATTTTGACTGACACTTGAAGTCGGAGCCACGATAAGGGAGAGAGGGCAGTAGAGGAAAGATGATCTCCTGCCAATAGTAAGGGAGTGGACAGTGTTGGAAATGGAGACACGAAGTGTTGTGGACGCGCGGGCCCTCCATTTCGTCTAGGTTCCCGACACGATCTTGTGTGTATTTAAGAGGTTGGAGTAGGTAATATGGTAGCGCTTCAGGCTACCTATTGGAGACATGAGCGGCTGCATGGCGTGGGCACAAGGAGGTTATTGGGGGTTTTCTATGCCTGGATAGCACTACACTCGTTTATGCTGTGGCTTAGGCTACGTGTCGCTTACACTTGTACTTTTTTTTTTTTTTAAATCATTTAATGTGTATTCAGCTATCTAGCTATGACACATGACCGGCGCTATGTATACATGTGGGATGATACACTTGTACTTGTAGCGCACACTTTCCACGCTTTCAGCTGTAATCCGAACATGACACTCCTTTAGTCAACTTCTACTCTCGTTCCATTAACATTGCTCCCATTTCATTGCGCAATATTTCCAACAGACAGTTTCCGCGCTGGACAAAACAGTGTTAGTGCACTTCTTGAAGGTAACACAACATCGAAGTGTAGATAAATTGAAAAGTTGAGGGAGTTTTTACCAATATAATGGTTTCCTCATATGTAAATATTAGAGTTCGTAGACACCTGCGTGGGACTTTAGGCGCCAAGTCAGGCTAAATGAAATCAACTTCCAAAAAATAGAATATATTAGTCGTTTTGAGAGAGAGAAAGAGAGAAGTGTGTTAATTGTACTACTTGAGTTTTAGACTATCTAGCATTTTGAGCTCCTCTCTGGTCCAGGCCACATCTCATACAGTACTCTTATCCTCTTTTTTTTACTTGTAGGATCATTGATATATTGCCCGTGATGAATAGCCATTCAGCTCAGTGTTAAATCGTGGAGTTCGGCCACCTTTTCCACGGAACCTTCTACCCAAAAAAAAAAATGTAAAAAATAAAAAAATGGTAGCAATGCAAACTGCGTGCGCTAGGAAAAATCTCAAAAATTATTCAGCCCCAGCTAGGCTAGGCCTAGACATCAGGACCACATGAAGTGCGCATATTCATCTATATCTCTCTTTTGTATCATTAGAGCTCAACTTGACCCAATTCCGCCATTGCCGCATCGGATGACTTTTCCTCCATGATCAAGGGTGTGTGGTAAGTAGAGCTTCGACCCTACCATCTGATCTGATCGTGGTTAGCTTCATGATAATAATGATAGGGGAATATGTCGAGAGATGAACATGATACAGACCGCGAAAGCCATTAGGAATCCTCGTCGAAGTGAGAACTTTGTTAGTCAATCTCAGCTCTGTAGACTCTACAGTAATAGCTGGAGGCTCGTAGGGGACACCACTGACAGGTGTTGAGAATAGTCCCTCAATGACAATGGGATCGCTGGTTCAAATCCAGCAAAATACAACCACATTTCTCGTGAAAATGATTTAAATTGATGATGAATGCATGCTTGGATAATCAAAGTTTTTGAATTTCCCTTTGGTGGGTACTTGCGGAAAAGAGTTAGCTGTTTGTATAGGTTGACCTCGTAGTGGTATTAGCAAATTAAATCCAGAGTACTAGTCTCTCTGAAATCAAAAGAGTCCTCTAACATGTACACATAGCACTGATTGTTATGATCTATGTACATGCATTTGCTCTGCACATTCATGCATGTACTATTCTACCAATCGACGATGTCGCTATGCTTGTGCGATGGTTGGTCATGAGATTGTATCAAGCCAATGAGGAAGGCTGATCTCTAGGAGTTGTGATCAGGCACGGGATTGATTGTACACGGATAATGGCGGTCCTCGGTAAAGTCCAACATGTAGATAGATAAGTGGTCGAGTACCGGCCACAGTGACACACACACATTAACTTCTCTTCATATTCATACTCTAGAACATAAAATCCATTCCTGAGTCATCTCACATAGATTACCTATGACATCAACTATTGTACTATCTCTAAGTCCACTCCCAACCACTGTCCAGTGCTCATAAATCACAATACTGGTCCTATGTTATAGCTAGATAGCTGAGAACATGTAAAATAATTAAAAAACTCATCCTGTGGACGATGAATGTCATAAATGTGGCCGAGCCTTTTTGATTTCGAGCAAATGACCTTCTGACTCAAATAGGATAAGTTTCCAAGCTATGTAGACTCCACTTGGCAATCCAGTCCAGATGGTGTACCACCGCACCGTCATACCATTATGGTATTTGAAGTGTCGCCTGCACTCTCGCAATCGAATTCCTATAGTTTACAATGCTCATATTGAAAAACTCTTGTCCGAAAATCGAAATATAACCCTTGCCAAGATTGTATCCACCGCTTGAAACACCCTGCCCACCTGTCCTGATATCTCTCACGTCATTTCTGAATATCTTCCTCCCATATTTGTGGGCCACAATTTGTCTTCTATGACGGGTATAAATACTGTCGTGGGTGTATATATTATTGAAAGGCTGAGGGCGATGGATAGGGAGACGTCACCCTGTGAATAGAATACTGATAGGTATGGGAGAATTCAATAGATCACTTGGACAGAGTAAGATGATTGATTGATGGTGAATTGTATTTGTGGATGATTGATATATAGATACTGAGAGTAAAAAGGCCCTATCTATATACAGGAGTTCCTACCCTTATTCCTCTACATGGTATTGTCTATGATAGCTAGAGTAACTACAATGGTGTCCTCATTGTAGTGAACACGTTGATGTTAGTGTGTAGGGACCAGGAGGCAATAGTGATCAGACTCTAAGGGGTTAACTTTGCTGGTGCACAGTTATCCCCTGAAGGTGTGTGCAGTTATGAACTCAGATTTTTACATCATATATAATGGCCAGAGACTGATTAAACGAGATGTATGATCATTGGAATGAGGATATAATAGGTCGTACTTGTAGACTTGATGAGACATTGGTAGGAGTCGATCTCGTTGCGAGTGAAAATTGGACCGTTGTTTGTCATTACACAGGTTACTCTTCGACGACTTAGTAGTCTCAGTATTTCGTGTGGAAGTTACATTGTGATAAAGTCTTTGCACAATTTAAGGGTACAAAGCTGAATAGTCAGCTTCGTGTAATTTTATCATAGATGTATCACTATTGTACTTTAAACAAGAACATCTTTATCCCTACGTACATTGTTATCTGATCAGATACCGAGGCACAGCCTATCCAACATGGACATAGTGAAGTATTTTAAATCATTGCCTCGTGGACCAACCTCTTTGATTTGCAAAATTTGACTGAACTTGGCTCTAGCAGAATATTTCACTCCCAGGTTCATAGTGGATATTGCGAACAGGTTTTTAGTTTTTCCCTCTTACCGTACGTATCTTGTCTGTAGTATTTCGTATTAAGTCGAGTTATTGATGCCCTTGGCCAAGGTATAGACAAATGTAAGGCCGACGACTCGACCCAGCCTCGATAGCACACAGCAGCTATGATGAGATAAATATCAACTTATATCATAGATTTCAGGCATTACTTTTGGATTGTGGATAGCTCTGATAGGTGGTGCGGTGACCTTGGAGAGGGTCGCAAAACGAACTTGGCTGGGAAAGATCTTCGAGGAAATTTTGAGATGGTGAAGGATATCAGTTGTTTTAGTACTGATATTAGAAAGGTTTCATCCTATGTGCAGTTCATTTCGTGGATGTAAATTATTCAATTCGCTGGCTTGTGCAGTCGTGAAATCTATGCAGATCTGGGTTTCGACCAAAAACTAGCTTACGCCACTTCTCCCGAGCACCATTTCGTTGAACACTCTCAAATCTTATTCTCATTGCGATTGAATCGCAGTTATAAGATATTTTTGCCGCCGAGTTCGTTGCGGACATGACTGACTGATGTTCAGCTTTTGTCCTCCGGTATTACATGCTGCTGCCTCATTTACCTGAAACCGGAGTTCATCCGGCTCCCAACAGGCATTATTCCTAATTTAGGTAGGATCATGTAATTGCTTATATAAAGTCCAGGATGCGACGCGACGCGTAGTCTTTATACTCTGGTAAATCTCATATAAATTATTTTCCCTTTAGATAGAAAATAAATATCATTTTCAACATATGTTTGCGAGAAGCTGGCGTATCGTCCCTTAACATCCGGAGAATAGGCGTATGTCGAATAGTTATAATTTTTGGAGAAACTTCGGATTAGTAGTATTGAATAATGTAACGTCTGTTACGAAGTTAATTTTTACTATGCCACGCTGTTACATCGGCTCAAATCATGAGCCTCGAAACACGGGTAGTGTTAGATGTTGAACATTTTAGGCAGGCTAAGAACGGTCGTACCACGTCTACTGGGTGTAGGCCAGGTCGGCAAAATAATGAAATCAAATCTTCATTAACAAACTAGAAATGGAATGAGACATATTTATGTTTCCTAGCCGTTGTTTGGTGAGAAATCGAAGGGTGCATTAAGGTGGTAGTCAATTTGCAGTTTTTCTACATTTGAGTGGATCTCCGTCTGGTTTACTACCCGCTTAGATCATTACTATAGAATAACGTCCCTGTGTAATGACATTTGGTTTGGTATATATTAAGGAAATAATGGCCCTTGGTTGTTGAGCTGGTAGAGCGCATTTGTTCAACTACCAAGGTGCAATTAAGTATATGTCTCGTATTCAAGGGTGTCGACAACATGGCCTACTTGATAGCCCCAGTTATTCTAACTTCTGACAGGATACCCTTTAACCATTCCATGCAGGTATATACTTCGTCTAGGAGATAATACATTTAGCAACCATCTTAATAGCTAAATCAGCTATTTTGTAAAATAAAACTCTCATGTATGCAACCTAATACGACTTTAGGAGCCGTAATAGGGCATGCTAGCGTCTTTGATTGTCATGATATGTGTGGCCTGTAGGGCCTATCGAGGTGTATGTCAATTCCCCAACTTTTGCTAAACATCTTGAAGATCCTTTCTGTATTTAGATGCTCTTCAGAGATTTTTACTTTGCTTTTTACTTTGCTTTTTACTTTGCCGCTCCTTCTTAAGTCGGCGTTTTTCTGCTCTGACGGCAAGCCGCTCCATAATGGTCGGGACAGGTGGTCTTTCCTCAAGGGGAGGACCAAATGGCACGATAATTCTATCGACAGTGTACTGCACATCTTTGGAGACCCATGAGCCACCAGTTATCGCGATAATGTCCCCGATGCGGAGCGAGTTGTTTGGATCGTGGACTAGTTGAGTTTGCTGCCGGCCAGAATACTTGAGAAGAGAGATCTTAGCATTCAGGGCTACTTTTTATTGATCCACAAGTTAGCGAGGTTAGGGACATTCGGCGACGTACATTTTTGATAGGGTTATTCAATTGCTTCAAGCCTACTCGCACCTTCACTGTTTTTTGCGTGTGCCCAGCCGAGACAACTACAGCAGGAATTTCTCTCATTAAAGCAATGGCTTTGGTTTTCGACATTAATACAGGCCCTACCGAAGGAATTACAGGTGATTTAGGAACTTGGTTACGTTTGGGAAGGCCTGTCAAGAGATTATTTACGGAGAGTAAGCATATGGTAATGATGATTGAGCTTGGCCTCTCGCTTGGGTATGGTCGGCGTCACAAACGATCCAACTGTACCGTAGTGCCACGGTATCAAGTTTGCAATGTGGCTTTGGCAGGGGTTTTAGCGTGTAAATTAAGACGCCTTAGGCATAGTCACCTTCCATATTGGAGTCATCCCCTGTATTTGTGCAAATTTTGAAAAATTTTGTATGGCAGTTTTTATCTGAACACCATAGTTTGCAGTGGGTCTTTTCTTCGTGCTAAAACTAATTTGTATAATGATCGGCTGCATAACATTTGTGCATTTTTGCAACTTTTTTTTTTTAGCTTGTGAATCTGATTTCATTTAGCCCGATTTGGCGCCTTAAGGCCCATGCAGGTGTCTAGGAACTCTAATATTTATTTAGGAGGAAACCTTCATGGTAAAAACCCCCTCAGCGTTTCAATTTATTTACAATTTGATATTATGTTACCTTCACGAAGTGCACTAATACTGTTAAATCCAGTGCGGATACCGTCCACTCCCTAATTTATGGCAGGAGATCACCTTTCCCCTACTGCCCTCTCTGTCACTCATCATGGCTTCGACTTCAAGCGTCAGTCAAAACTGCTCTAGCCTTCCTTCCTTTTGTATCCACTTTGTTATTCTAGCCATATCTTCCGGGTTATTCATCATCGCTTCGAATGACCGATTCTCTGCCTTTCTCAGTATCTCCCCTCTCTCTTTAGCCCAGTCGGGACAGGCCATGATCATATGCTTGACGTTCTGGGACGGATATCCACATTGGCATCGTGGACTGTCTACTCCGGGAACATGTCTTCTGTGCAGGTAAGAATTGAACCCAATGTGCTCACTTCTTAACTGCATGGCTATGCTACTTTGAGCCCTGTTAAGGCTTTTATGGACACTGATAGGTGTTCCTCTAGAGGTCATTCTTGTTCTTCCCGTCTTTTCATCTGTATAAAGATTCGCTGCGTTACTTTATAGCTTATTTACAAGAGTTCAAAGGTTTTCAAATTACAAAATAGAGCTAGTCTTATCCTGACATTAGATCTGAACATGTGGCTGGAATATTTTCAGGCCTTAATATCTGGTCGGTCCCCCATCTGCTTCTACCACAGCCTGACATCTTGCTGGCATACTCTGAATGAGTCTCACAAGATCTTCGGAAGACACGGAATCCCATGCCTCCTTTACAATGTCGCGAAGACTATCTTGAGTTTGCTGCTTTCCGCAACCTAAATTCGGATGATGACGCTGGATGTAATCCTTCATCTTATGCAAAATAGCTTCAACTGGGTTAAGATCAGGCGAGTTGGCCGGCCAGAAAATCGGTTGAGTGAGCCTCTGGCTCTGCCTTACAAAGTATTTGCTGCTGTATGGGCAGAAGCATTATCCTGCATTATGGAAAGCCAAGGTCTCATCGAGACCATGCTATTGATAACAGGAACTATCTTCTCGCAATATTTTTGGGAGTTAATGGAACCCAATTCCTTCTCCCAAAACAAACAGGGGCCTTTTTCTGGCCCTGCAAAGCAACCCCAGAACATCCATCTGATCCTCTTCGATTTTTTTCCAACACAATCAGCATTGTGTTCTCGGGGAGTCTAGCTCATAATGTTAGAGCATCAATTGCTATCTTCTCAAAGAGGAATGTACAAATATTTCTTGTCACCCATTCTCTAGAATGTCTTCCATCCTCTACCCAAGTTTTGTCTGTCCATAAAACTGACGTCCAGTCTTCATATGTCCAATTGAGATTAGCTTCGGCCCATTCTCATCGTGTCTTCATAGTTTTCTGAGATACAGGAGGCTTTGGACGAGCCACACGTCGATGATTTTCTCGTTGAAGTTCTCTTTGTATTACCCGCTTGCTAACACCAAGATGTCTAGGGGGCCAGAGGCGAGTTCCAGAAATGTTTTGCGGCGGTTTCCAAGTGAAGACTCAACGTAAGATATAATCTGATCAACATCATCTACTTTCAGCCTTGAGGATGTTCTTTTTCTCTTTTTGGAGGAGACAGTTCCGCGGCGCAGTGAATAACTAACTTGTCCCCAAGAAATGCCTAGTTGCACGGCAATCTGCGTCTGGGTTTTGCCAGATTCATGGAGCCCATAAATCTTAATATTTCTTTTAATTTATATTTGTTCATATCTAATTTTTCTACTTACTAAAATGTTTTGATCTCTGAATAATTGTTTGATTCGAGGTGTTGAAGGTGGGGTTTGAGGTGGATTCATCTTTAAAATAAGGTTAGTATCGAGTAAAGCCATTTGTCTTCTGAATAAATAACTATGTAATTGAGAAATTTAATTCTTATTGTAACTCAAGCACAAGGTCTTGTCTTGTCTTGTCTTGTTCATTTACATGCTAGGTATAGTGATTCCCGTTGCACTCTTTCTGGAGCTTAAGCACGGGTGGGGCCGGGCTGGATCAGGTTAACTACCATTAAGTACATCTACCTCGTCCCACCTAAATGATCGGACCACCTCAGACATCACCCATGTGTTGAATCATGTCAAGCCCAACCGTACAGAGAACCCCCTTTTGGCGCGCCGAAGCGCAAATTCCTCTTCAGCCTCGGCCACAACGCGCCCGAGCCCTTGACACCTCCGCGATCTGTAACTTTTTCCTTCGCTTCATTCCCAGCTTTCGCTCATCTCATTTAGGGGTCGTTTTCTTCACTGGAGGCCTCATCTAGTCGCCCACCAAGGCCTCCTCAGTTTGTATTCCCTTTTGTTCCTTCATATAGCATCCCTCTATCCTTCAGCCGACATCGTCATCCGAGAAACTTTGTAGAATGTCCACCCCTCCGGCCTTGCCCCGTCGCTGCCGTACCCCTACCTGTGGAGGTCGAAAACGCGACTGAGAGCTCAAGACCGAAGCACCAATGCCCCAGCCTTTGTCGAACGTTCTGTTGGTGTGCCGGCGAAATGTCGTACGTATTTCATCAGTGGCGATTCGTCGCAGGTCGAGTTGTTGGTACCCTTGGCCGAGGTGAAGACGCATCTAAGGCCGGTATTTCGATCGTACTTCCACAGCGACTGGCAGTTGTGTAGGGTCGGACATCCTCTTGCTTCTTTATTGGCGATTGGCTTTTGGAGGTATGGGATTGCTTAGGTAGGTGGTGAGATGATTCTTGAGAGGGCCGCAAGATGAGTTTGGCTAGGAATAATTTTCTGGAGAAATAGAAAATAAGATGTTGAAGGTGTCGGTTTTTGTAATACGAACATGAGACAGATTATAGCCTGTCTACCGTTCGTATCTTGGGTGTAGATGGTTGATTTCGTTGAGTTGTGCAGTCGTGAAATCTCTGCAAGTCGGATTTTCGACCAAAAATGAGCCAATACCACTCCTCCCGATCGCCAACTCGATGAAAACTATGAAATTCACCCTTTGTCGTGACTGAATCTCGGCTCTGGGAGATTATTTCACACCCAGGTTCGTAGAGAGCACCACTGACAGGTGTTCAGCCTTCGTCCTCCTCTCAAGCACAAGTTGAGAAGAGCTGTGTAATTTTTTAGTGGTCGGCGCTCATCAAAGCAATGGGACAGAACTAGAGAACAGGTTGGATCTGCATGAAACTGAGGGCGACATGAAATCAAATTGTGCCCTCGGTTTAGGCCTGGAAATACAGGACAAGAATTATGTACCTTGCTGAAATTGGCGCTAACAGGGGTGCAATCCCTGAAGCAAATATGCGCCCATATAAATCCACTGAAAACTTGATATCGTTGAGGATCCAAGATTGACAGACCTCTAGATTAGTACGAGGCTCTAATAAATTGTAATGCTTATGTAATGTTGTTCATGTTGAGGTCCGGGCGCAAGATTAGGAATACTGTACTTATATAGACGATACCCTGTATTAATAGAAAACCAAGTTACATCTAGTCTTAAGCTCTACTACACATATTGGTAGATTGGAGCCACGAGACACCCGTAACCTACGCCATCTTAAAGCTAAGCTTATCTCACTTTTCACACATACTAATCCATCAGGAACCTCATCGTGACACCACGGTAATACAAGGCTGAACACCTTAACGCGGTGACCCCACGAACCTGGGACTGAAATTTTCACTCACAGCATAGTTCAGCCAAATTTTGCAAATCAAAGAAGTTGGCCTACGAGGCAATGATTTAAAACACTTCACTATGTCCAATTTTGACTCGCAATGAGATCGACTCCTACCAATATCTCATCAAGTCTACAAGTATGACTAAGTACATTCTCATTTCAATGACCAAACCTCTCATCGACTATTCTCAGGCCTCAGCCGGTCACTAAATAAACGCCCATGACAATACGAATACCCATAGGAGGACAAAAACTGTGGCGTAAAAAATTGGGAGGAATTTCTTCAAGATGGACGTGAGAGAGAACAGGAAAGATTTACAGGATAAGGCAAAAGAAGGATATAATCTTGACAGGCGTGAGATATCGAATTTGGGCGGGGGATTTCATAAATGAAGAGTATTTTGCGCGCCAGGACTTCGATTATGAAAATGCAGCTTACACTACAAAAACAAGCCAACGATGGAAGGCGCCGTGGTCTGCCTTATAGGGGTTGTCTCCGATATGGTTTGAGTAGCGTAGGTAACTACTCCACTCGGAAATGAGACGCCTCGAACCACATAACACGCGCAAACGTATTAATGGATGATGGAGGCATGACTGTGTAACTCGGGGCTTTTGAATATTTTCCCCGGGTGGGTATTCACGGATGAGGGTTGACTTGGGGTGAAGAAAAAGTCGCCGTAACTTCGCAACGGTACTTGAAAACAAAACTGAGTCATGAGTTCTCTTCCTTGATATTGAATCATCTGTTATATACTTTTTCTTTGATATTGAGTCATAGCTATGTAGCTGCTTATGTGTGCCAGCCGATGCAAAAATAAAAGACCTTCAAAGAGCCCTTAGCCCGCTCGTGAAGCCTAAGGCCGTCAGAACCTTCTCACGTTTTGTCGACAACATGCCATTGGGTTAATCTCATCCCATGACGCAAGTGCGCATGATTCTGTAAAAGATTCTCAAAGTACAGCAGTCATGTTACAGCCTAAGTGACAACAGAACATGTAGGAGCCTGAGAAATATTGCAGCTCCAATAAAAGCTGCTCTCAAGTACACTACTCTTGGTGCATGCGTGGAAGATAGTGAAGGCTTACTTTTTTAAGTTATGGTTCATTAAAATCCCCTTGAAGTACACTAAAGGACGAAAGATTGGCATCGAATTGAACAAAGAGGAGGAACTATGGGAATATTGATTTAGGGCAAGATCCTCAGTGTCCATCGGAAAATATCGAAATTATAAAAACAATAATTAATTAGCCTTTAAACAGCTTATCGCAGTCCCTCCTATTCAGAGGCTGAAGAGGAACTTGAATTCTGTTCTACTATATACTCATAGATGAGGTTAACAGTTCAGTGTAAATAATCACCCTATCACCATGTTAATTTCGTAACTAATCCAGACGATCAACGTTTCTAAAACCATTAAGCCATTGCATAAGTGCCAGATACACTAATTGTGTGTCGTAGATAGCCGGCTCAACAAACGGAACCGATTTATGACTAAGTATATCACCTTGTTCCCTCAGGGATTGGGCTGTATTTGTGGCAAGAACTCGATAGGCCTGGGGGACTATTCTTAACACCTGTCAGTGGTGTCCCCTACGAGCCTCCAGCTATTACTGTAGAGTCTACAGAGCTGAGATTGACTAACAAAGTTCTCACTTCGACGAGGATTCCCAATCGCTTACGCGGTCTGTATCGTCTTCATCTCTCAACACATCCACCCATCACCATTATCATGAAGCCAACCACGATCAGATCAGGTGGTAGGGTCGGAGCCCTACTCATCACCAACCCTTGATTACAGAGGAAAAGCCCTCCGATGAGTTTCCGGAGCGTACCCAGCACCCGATACGGAGATGGCGGATTGGATCAAGTCGGCCTCGACTGTTGCAAAGAAGGGAGATATAGATGAATATGCGCACCTCATGTGGTCCCGGTGTCTAGGCCTCGCCTGGCTGGGGCTGCAGGCTTTTTGAGACTTTTTCCCGCGCACGCAGTTTGCATTGCTACCATTTTTTTATTTTTTACATATTTTTTTTGGGTAGAAGGTTCCGTGGAAAAGGTGGCTGAATTCCACGGGTAAACACTGAGCTGAATGGCTATTCATCAAGGGCAATATATCAATGATCTTTTAAGAAACATGAGAGGCAAGGAGCACTCTACAAGGTGTGGCCTGGGTCAGAGAGGAGCCCAATGTGCTAGATAGTCATCGACTCAAGTATTACAATTAACACAAACACTCATTCTCGATAGGCCTTTCAAAAGAGGAGGGGAAAATTACGCTTCTGAATTAAGACTAGACCCACCGACCAGGACATATACATGATGTGTTAGGCCCGTTTCTATTTTTAATCAGGGACATTGTACAATTTGCTCGCTGGCTATTCTTAGCAGCCAATAGCCTGGCCACATTACTGAGTGTGACAGGCGAACATGCTAAAACTTAGCACGCCGGCGCTAATTCAACTACACTCTTGCCAATCTGGCCTGGCAGATGCCAACATCTTTTGTCTTCTAGATGGCGGAGAATAGGAGTCTATTGACTGGACAGGAATATGGTAATATGTGGTGAGGCCATGATAATTCCGCGCACATCACTGAGATGATACTGGCATAGTGGACTCTGGCAGTCAGGATGGCGTGTGGTGCGCATGAGTCCCGCCGCACGATAGCTGCGTTAACCAAGAAAAACCACGGAATAAGCATTCAGCTAATTTATCACTTCATAGTGGAGCAAGTGGGGGTCAATGGCGCTCTCGGCTCACTATTTGATGTAGTCGGAACACCCGGGTGTGACGTCTTCATGGTGCTACCATCAATCGACGCCACACTAGATGTTCAGGCGATGCGGCCACCTACTTCTTGCTAGATTCATCTCACAGATTTATTGCCATCTTTGACAATTTATTTTTTTATTTCTCTCTTGAAATTGATATTATCAAATTAAATTGCGAAATCACATTTCTGCTTATGCTAGGAACGAGATTCCATTGTTCTTGGTTTTTATACTTTTCAATCTCCCTCTTTTCTTCTGCTTCTTAAATAAAAGGGAGAATTATAGATAACAAGTTTGAATGAGACAAAGATATCAACATTTAAGCTACCCACCTGACCCTTTCAAGAGAATAGAATGCAAAATTTTGATTTTCAGAATATTCAATACCCTAAGCTGTGTTTGCCGAGCAACCCTGGGTATTAGAAGAGAAAGGAGAAGACTCAAAATTTCCGAAAATTTCCCAGCAGGAACCATATTTACTTTTCAATAAGCCAATAGCTTGGAGGTGGCGCTGGTTACTAGGGTTGTGCGCCAGCTACACGAGCAACTTCCCCTAACTTTTGCTGCTCTTCGATAGTCAGACCAGGATACCAGCTTGAAAACCCACCAATATTCTCACGAGCTGCTCGTAAGAAAAAATCCATCAAATATGCTTGGGTCTCATCATCACGCTGGCGCGTGAAACTTGCCTCAGTAAAAGACATCATGTCAGCCTTGGCTGAGGCGCTGGCGAAATCCAGAGCGTTAGGAACATCTTCCCAATCATCATTATCTTCATCATCCTCGGCCGTAGCTGCGGCAACAAGGTTAGAAGCTGCTTGCGAGTGACCCGAAGCAGACAGAAGCTCCTCGATGAGTACTTTGAGGATCTTGAGAGGGGCTGGGATAATAGTATATTCGATAGGATTAGCCTTAGCTCGGGAACGAGTAACAATTACATCGCTAGCAGGCAATACTTGGTCACCACGAATCATAATCTGTGATAGACGATGGTCATTAAGAGTAAAGAGCTTCGAGAGGGCGATAACACTATCAGGAGTTAATATCGAGTTCAATGAAGACCATACGACTTACTTTTGTCGAATTTCATCATAGCCTGCAAAGCTAACAGAGTTCTCTAGCCACTTGCTCATAACAACTTGAAGACCATTGCTACCGTTGATATCAATCTGGCTAAGGAAATTCACCACATCATGTTCACCGGTCAATGAGAGTCGAGCAAATACCAATATTAATGATTGAATAAACGGTGGTGCTTCAGCCGTTGCTAGTCTAGAAGCAACGGCACGTAGCAGCTGCTCCAGAAAAGGTCCGAGCCGTCCTTGACCAGCCTTCTCAACTAGCTCGGCTGCTAAGCCTCCAACTTCTGAGGCTGCATTATCTTCGACTGAAGGGCTGAGGAGTTTGTCAATAAGTACCAAACAGACCTCGAGGCCAGATCTACCTTCCTCATCCCTCCATGCAAAGACCTGTTGATGATCGTGCATAAGCATAAATTTGACGGCTTCGGCACCAGCACGAAGAACTCCCCCTTCTGAAGTTGCCATTAGGAGTCGGTTTAACTTCGGCAGGGAAGCTGCAACGTATCCCGAGGGCAGAGGCTCTGATCCATTCTCTGTAAGAACTGCAAGTAGCTCTGTGGCTAGCTCTACTAAGGGATCATCTCCAGTCAAATTTCCGACATCAAAGGCACCAGTTAACGAGGGCAATACTTTTAGGCAGAGTTGGGTGTAAAGGTTGGTTCCAGATATACTTTGCACGATATCCTCAAATGTCTCGGTTACAAGCATGGTCATCTGAAAGTTTGCTGCTCCATACTTGGCTGTCGTAAAGAGGAGGTCTAGAACAGTACCATCATTAATCGAAATACGAGGGTCAAGATTAATAGCCGCTCTTAGTGTTTCGACGAGTGCAATTAGTAGATCATCTGCATCTTCAAGATCCGTCAGATCTTTTGCATGTACGTACTCTGACAGGGCGCTGATTATCAAGAGTTGATGATCAGGTTGTACACTGATCTTGGCCCAACCTTGAATCGACTTGATGGAAGCAACTTTGACAACCTCGGATTCGTCACTGTTGACAGCCTTTATCGTGCGATTAAGGAGGGTTAGAGGCATTTCAGGAATGCTCTGAGCGAGAATTCCGGCGACTAAATATCCACGTGCACGAAGAAGAGGCTCATCTGTACGATTGATGGAGAACTCGATCAGCTCAAAATATGTTCTGATAATCTCAGGTGCCACTTTCTTGCCAACATCAAGAAAATCAGTCATTAATTGTGTGACAAGGTACAGTGCAGCTTCTCTCGTCCGCCAAGTTGATGTTGAGGCTGGAAAGAGCCGTTGAGTAAATACCAGCAGTCCTTCCAAGGCACCTTGATGGAGCCATTCTCCTAGTTTAATTAAAAGGTCACCACACGCAGTTCTTGCTGTATAATTTGTAGTGACACCGGTCTCTTCCGCCAAAAACAAGTTCACATCAATGTCCCATAGATCTTCCTCTTCTTTTATTATCTGAGCGTACGATACTGCCAGCTTCATGACATCAAGAATCCAAGGTGTATTAGTGACACCCGAATGCTGTTGTATTTGGAGGCCAAGCTCCTTCTGTACAGGAGGAGCTCGAAGACAGGATTGTAAGAAGTCCAACTCCTCCAAGACCAAAAAATCTAAAGTGTATGGTAGCCCATCTGCATCTTCCAGCCGACCCTGTTCCTCATTTCTGACGTACATATCCTGATATTCCTCTTCGAGTAAGTTTAGTTCGGCCCAAGTCTCCGAAAAGAAGACTGGTGTCTGCGGTAGTAGTAGTTGAGGGAATACTGAACGGATCCTCATAAGGGTTTTTACGACTTGTAACTTTAATGCAATAAGTCCTCTTCGAAATTCTAGCACTGCGCCACTTTCATCGTCGCAGCTCTTAGCAACAGCCGGAACTTTTCTTGAGGGCAAAGGTGTTTTCATAACGCTTAGGAAAAGTGGCAAGCAAACTGACAAAGCTTCGTCAGCAAAACCCTTGACTTCTGGACCATGCTCGTCCTTGACCATTTCCATGATATCAAATGTTCCACGAAATATTGACACAGCGTAAGCGCGTAGGACTGGTTTTCGAGCATCGTTGATAGCCACATCGAAGACAACTTTGAGGATGTCCCTCGCGACTGTGAAAAATTGGTCTTCACTGAGTGCATCCTCAACTAAATCGGATAATACTTTTAATGCACCATTTAATTGTAGGTCTGAAGCATTTGGTATGAGGTGCAATATTGTAGGAAGTAGACTCGGCCATTGGTCGGGGAAATCAACATTGGCGATTTTCGTGACCACATAACTTCGTAGTTTTCCATTAGTATCCGAGTTGGATTTATTTACACATGAGTCAATTACCTCGCAGCAACCCTAATTTTCCTGTCGGATAACTCGCTCGTCGCTAGTGCTAGCATGTTGTTCCTTAAGCGTTCCTTACTACCATCGTCTAAGAGGACTAGGCCGAGGCTTGCGCTATCTTGTTGGTCGATGCTACTCCAAAAGCTCTCAACCCATGTGCGCAGCAGTAATAGAGCGCTCTGTCGAATTTCAAGGGCGACATTCACGTGTGATGCGATAGCTCCCAATGAGACGGGATAGGCGGGATTGCGCTGAGCTTGGGTAAGGTGCAGTTCGGCCTGCTTGCGGGTGCCGTCATTGGGAGAGTGTGTTTCGGTTATGAGATGGAGCAACTTTTCTTCCGTTGTCGCTGCCATGCTGCTGGGCAGGAATCGGGATGTCTCCTCGTGTATATTTTGTGGGATAGTTGCTGGTTTTTGCTTAGGGTAGAGATTAGCGGGGTTGAAAGTCTGTATATGAAATGCGAGTGGTCCGACAGCTCGGTTGACGGAAGCAGGAGCGTTATCAAGTTACATGCGGTTCGACTTCGATATTCCTGTCCTCTAATTCGATATTATTAATTCCCCTAGGTAGGTGCATACATACAGTTTAAAAACATACTTTGCTGCCTGCAACAGTTGGAAAAAAAACGTGAATATCTTTGTGCTTTTTCTCGAGACTTCAATGCTCATCCAGCCTGCCATGATAGGCACCATGACTGGCCGTACAAAAGAGAAAGTGGGCCCAGACAATGGCAAGGGTTTGTGTTGCCATAGTTACGTGATCGTTCAGGAGTAAAGATTGATGTTTTGACTGACGCTATCCTCAAATGGGCAACAGTGACATGAAGAGAAAAGTTTGCTCACAGTACCCAAGCACTTAAGGCTTCGCTCACCTCAATACACGCTAGTATACTAACGAAGCTATGGGCTCGGACGCAATTTAAAATATCGACTTTTTTTTTAACATTAACCCTACTTTCTCGGGGCTAATGTAGCACTGTTAACCGAGAGGAAAGATGTTTATACAAAAACTTATGAGGATTTCTTGGAATTGTGGGCTTGAAGCAGACTAGGAGCTGCACCTGAGAGAGTTTTCCCGGGCATTTTCGGGATAATAAGCAGAAAGTTAAGACAAGAGCTCATTTCGACCATTTAAATGACCATCAACCAAAATCTCAGACCTGGAGCGGACTTACCCCACAGTGTATTGGGAACCATCAACCTACGAATTGCCGTGGCTACAGAAAACCTCCCGCCCAGAGCCAAGGGAAAATAAGTCCATATTGCAAGGTATCTCTTCCTGATTCAACGAGCCAGCAAAGACGAGTTCTTCACCTTCCATCGGTGCCGGTGTAATTGCTCAGTATGCTCTGCATATCTGGAATAGCCAAGAAGAACCGCATCCGAGTCGAAGTCGAGAGCAAATAAAAGTATGTCTCTATTTGACGACTTCTTAAAAATGCCGCTCTTACTATTATCGCCAGAGTACTCAATGACCGATGAAGGAGTTGCTCCAATTACAAACGGGAACTTGTCCAATTAGTTACCAGCCACCCCTCACTACAAATTTACGACACTACCTATACCCGCGAGGAAAAAATGAAGTCGAAATATACAACGTCTAGGCACTGGCGTACGGAACGCTATTGCTCTCATGGGATAAACAACTTGAGAGATGTCAGACGTATGAGATGTGGAGCGAGAGGGGTAAGAGGCCCCTGAAGATCATTCTAGGACTGACATTTTCGAGGTGTTTTCAACTTTAGAATATTCTTGGGCGCCAAGATCATGATTTCGGCAAGTTGGCCACGAAGATAACTATCGTCGATGAGTTATGGGTACTCCCCAGAGCCCTGGATCGCTTAAAAGAAGTTGGACTAAGCTACTTTACAGCAAACATGCTCATTCGAGACTCCGGCATTCTGAAATGACCTTCGGGAAGGAGTTGGAAGGAGGCTAGAAAGGCAGAGTGTGAATTCTCCGAGGTACACACAAGTCTGCAGCGCCCAGCTGGTCGGCCTCTTCAGACGCTTCGGAAGGGTCACTATGTCTTCAGAGTTAGTCCTAATGTCGGTATTAGGAGAGCTCCGCACCCAGTGGTTTTTGTCATTTTTCCCGGCTGCCATACACCTGCAAATGGCCATCCATTCGTTGACTGGATAGGGGAGAAAGTGAAGGGCAAAGGGCTCCTCTAAGTATATGATCGAATGACTTGTGAGGGATAGCGCTGTTGAGGGGAGCTATGCGGAAGTCAAACTACAGTGTGTGTGTGATTTGTTTATCGTCCTACTTGAATCATAGACTATCTAGCACATCGGGCTCCTCTCTGACCCAGGCCACACCTTGTACAGTGCTCCTTGCCTCTTTTGTTACTTGTAAGATCATTGATACATTGCCCGTGATGAATAGCCATTCAGATAAGTATTTACCCGTGTCATTCAGCCGCCTTTTCCACGGAACCTTCTACCCAAAAAAAACATGTAGAAAACATAAAAATGGTAGCAATGCAAACTGCGTGCGCGGGAAAAGTCTCAGTCAGCCTGCAGCTCCAGCCAGGCGAGGCCTAGACACCGGGACCACATGAGGTGCGCATATTCATCTATATCTTCCTTCTTTGTAATAGTCGAGGCCGACTTCATCCAATCCGCCATCTCCGAATCGTGTGCTGGGTGCGCTCCGGAAACTTAGGGGATGGTTTTTTTCCATGGTCAAGGATTGGAGATGAGCAGGGCTCCGACCCTACCACCTGTTCTAATCGTGGTTAGCTTCATGATAATGGTGATAGGGGAATGTGTTGAGAGAAAGAGACGATACAGACGGCGAAATCGATTGGGATTACTCACAGAAGTGAAGACCTTATTACTCAATCTCGTTTCTGTAGACTCTACAGTGAGAGCTGGAGGCTCGAAGGGGACACCACTGACAGGTATTCAGAATAGTCACCCCCGCTCAGCCAGAAGGCCACACTAGAATCAACGAACACCACATCATATCCATTTCTACGTAAATAAAATGTACAGAAGTCAATCCTCACGCATTGATAGTTCAAGTATGGAGAGTTTAGACCCTAGGCACCAAGGGCAGTAATTTTTGACATGTCCTACTCAGGACATGTACAAGATAGACGTTAAGTAATAAACTACATGACCTAGGTTAGTTTAGATTTTTTTGCCTCCACTGAGTCTCGGACTGTGAAAAAATGACATAATTTTCTCCCGTGTAAATACTACAGTCCGAAGGTGGACGACGGCTGAACACGTGTCAGTGGTGTCCTCTACGAACCTGAGAGTGAAATATTCTCCCAGAGCCGAGATTCAGTCACGAAAAAGGGTGCGATGAATTTTAATTGATGGATCTTCGACTTGAAGGAGTTGCACTCGATATTTTGGTCGGAAAATCAGTCGGCAGAGATTTCACAGCCGGAACAACGTCGAACAAAAAGTCATCACCACCAACATACGATTCACGAATGGGCCTAGGTCTATCTGGGGGTCGTATTCAAACATCCGACATCTCTTAAACTTCTTCTATATTTGCGACGAAGCATTTCTCAGTCGATCCTATACCTGCGACCCACCTCCATACTCGTCCGATCACCTACCTACACACGCCCTAATGAGGAAAGTCATGATGGAAACGGGACGTGTACAAAGCAGGAAGAAGAGGGAAGATACACCGAGGGGATTACACAAATCCCCAATGACGAAAACAACCCAACGGTACGATATGAAGGTGCAAGGCTAGAGCAACGATGAGATCTTGGACGGCATTTATATTTAGGAGTCAATGAGGATGTCAAGGGCTCGGGCGCGTGGTGACCGAGGCTGAGGGGGAAATCGCGCTACGGCGTGTATACAGCGGGTTTCTGGACGGTTAGGCTTAGTTTGATTCAACACATAGGTGAAGTCTGAGGTGGTCCGGTCATTAAAGTGGGGCGAGGTTTATCTGTACTTCACGGTAGTTAACCTGATCCGGCCCAACCCCATACGTGCTTAAGCTCCAATAGGAGTGCAACGCTAGCCATGTTACCTAGCACGTTAATGAACAAAACAAAAGGAGGGCAAGACTGAACACCTGTACGCGGTGTCCTTTACGAACCTGAGAGTGAAATATTCTCCCAGAGCCAAGTTCAGTCAAATTTCGCAATATCAAAGAAGTTGGCCCACGAGGCGAAAATTCAAATTACTACACCATGTCAATCTTTCACTCCCAAAGAGTCCGATTCTCAGCTAAGCTTCATCAAGTCTACAAGTACGACCTAGTACATCCTCGTTTCAATGACCACACCTCTCGTCGACTTTCTCTGGCCTCAGCCGGTCACCAAATACACGCCCACGCCGATATTTACACCCGACGGAGGAAGCAAAGCGTGGAGCACAATTTTGGGAGATAGCTCTTTGGGACGGACGTGAGAGGGATCAGGACAAGTTTACAAGATGATGCAGAAGAGGGATACATTCTCGACGGGCGTGAAATTTCGAATTTTGGCAAGAGTTTTACGAATTGAGATTTGTGCGCGCCAAGACTTCGCTTGCGAGAGTGCAGCTGACACTGTAAACACAAGCCAACGATGGAAGGTGTTGTGGTCCGCCTCCTGGTGGTGTTCTCTGGTATGGTTTGAGTAGCCTGGGCACCTACTCCACCTGGGAAGGAGACATCTCAGATCACATATCGCGCGGAGAAAAGTTGAAAGATGATGGAGGCATGTCTGGATAACTCAGGGTTTTTGAGACGTTCCCCTGGGTGGGTATTTACGGATGAGGGTTGACTTGGGGTGAAGAAAAAGCCACCATAACCTCGCAGTGGTACTTGCAAATGAAATCTGAGGCATGAGTGCTCTTCCTTTACGTTGAATCATCTATTCTGTACTTTTCTTTGATATTGTGTCATAGCTAGATAGCTGCATACGCAATTAAAATCTGATGCAAAAAATGAACAAAACAAAACTACAGTCCGAAGAATTCTGCTTGGACTCATAGGGCGCCGAATCATATTTATGAAATCAAAATCAGATCAGATATCATCCCCCAAACTTTAGATTGTAAATCTTCCATAAGCATTTATCTTCACATCTTTTTTTTTGTTTTTAAATCATTTAATGTGTATTCAGCTATAAAGCTATGACACATGACCGGTGCTATGTATACATGTGGGATGACTCTTTTGGCCTTAGAGACACTCATACTCTGGATTTCATTCGCAAATACTACTATGAGGTATGTTTGCTTACACAGCCAGTCGACCCTCCTCCGTAAGTACCCACCAAAGGGAAATTCAAAGGCTTTGGTTAATCAAGCATGCCTAAGTCATCCATGCATACCAGCGCCGCGTGAAATGCGGTTATGTTTTGCTGGATTTGAACCAGCGATCTACTGTCTCGAGTGGGATATGTGTCCAAGCTATCCAGACTCTACTTGGCAGACCGGCCAAGACGATGCATCACCGCACCATCCAACCATGGCGATGTTTATAGTGTCGCCTACATTCTCGCAACCGAAGACTTGGCACGCACAAAGCTCAAATTGTAAAAACTCCTTGCCAAAATTTAAAAATCCACGTCCCTCGAGTATGATCCATCCTCTGCATCAACTTATCAACTTGTCCTGATCCCTCTCACATCCATCCCAAGGAAATGTCTTTTCCAGATTTGTGCGCCACGCTTTGTGTCCTCCGTCGGGTATAAATATCGGCGTGGGCGTATATTTGGTGACCGGCTGAGGCCAGAGAAAGTCGACGAGAGGTGTGATCATTGGAATGAGGATGTACTAGGTCGTACTTGTAGACTTGATGAGGCTTAGGTAGGATTCGATCTCTTTGGAAGTGGAAGATTGATATGGTGGAGTATTTTGAATCATTGCCTCGTGGGCCACCTTGTTCGGTATTGCGAAATTTGACTGAACTTGGCTCTGGGAGAATATTTCACTCCCAGGTTTGTAGAGGACACCGCGTACAGGTGTTAAGTCTTGCCCTCCTATCTTCACATCATTTGGCGCCAAAAAATATCACAAAGTATAAGTGTCGAATAGTAGGACACAAGTTTTATTTGGATGTGCATTAAACAAGGATGAGGGAATTTGGGTGGTAATAACAATTATGAAGATGTAATAACAAATAGGTAATAATACTCCCATATAAAGCATATCCAACAAAAGTCACACACCCAAGTACAGTCAATAAGTAGATTGACGTAGTCAACTTGGGGTGCAACATTCAAGAAGTCAAAGCTATCGTACAGCACAATAGTGAGACCAGCCCTGACTTATTGTTAAGGGCGAGGAGAATTACGGACACCGCACGTAAACAGTACCACAAAGAGTTAATATTTTTCTATAGAGATTTACTACAGGTAATCCTTTCAACTAAATATGCCAGCTACAGCCACCAGTGATCCAGTATCCCGACACGTATTCTTTTGACACTGAGTGATCTGTTATCCAGCCTCAGCATAATTAACCTAGTGATTCGAGTCTCGAGAAACTCTCTTATAGATCACTTGGTTAGTGTCCTTGAACAAGGCTGGGCCTGAAAGATAGCCCAGCCTAACCGAACTGGGCACAGCCCGTAACACTTATGGGTGTTCTATAAGGGCTGCAGCTGGGCCAACGGGTAGGATACCAAAAAGGATAGTCAAACCACTACGAAGTATCCAACGAAAATGCTTGAAGCTTATTACAGGGTCATACAACTCTACAAGCAGTAGGGTCCTGGAACACGAGTCTTCGGTTCTCCCGATAGACATCTACCTGAAACAAAGGAGGGTCCAAAACGTCGGACTATCAGAAGGACTACCTGTCAGGAGATTGATAGTATCTGCGTGCAGCAGAGTCAAGCAGACTACAAGGGGAACAGAGAACAGGCACGCCAAGAATCGAAAGCAAGACATTGAAGAATGGACCAGAATTTGTGGCCTGGATAATGAGAAAGGGAGACAAAAAGAAGCCGGTAAGGTGGCCGCGTTCCAGGAGTGGAAAAACTCATGGACACGTCCAGCAAACGAGATACCATCTGGTCATCGAGCTTCGGCAGACCCCGAATATTGGAAAGCCGCAAATATTATTACAGATGAGAAAACAGGCAGAAAAAGAATTACATACAGAAACACACCCTCAAACATCCACCGAAACCTAAGTAGGGCCCAAAGCAGTATTGCAGTTCAGATAATAAGTGAGCACATTGGTCTTAATTCTTATCTGTATCGAAGGAAAGTTCCCGGAGTGATTGATCCAAAATGTCAGTGTGGATATCCGTCTCAAAATGTCAAACATATGGTCTTGGCGCGTCCTCAGTGGGCCATGGGAAGAGGAGAGGTGCTTCAAAAGGCAAGAGACAGGTCATTTGCGGCAATGATGAACAGCCCAGATGACATAGAGAGAATAACTAAATGGATCCTGGCAAAAGGCTGGTTTGAACAATTCCGGCTTGCAGGAGAAGTAGAAATAGCATTGGACGAAAGGATGAGACGATATGGACAAGGATAAGACGGATTTCACACTGTATAAACAGTGTAATCGCACTTCCTGTAGGAAACCTCAGAAACAAAATAGACACGAGACAGACAGTTGTAGGGGGTTTTTACCGAATTAGGTTTCCTCCTGTGTAAATATTATAGCTAGTTAAACCTGCATGGGCCCATAGGGTACTTGAACGGGCTAAATGAAATCAAATCAAAATGGGTAATAATAAGTAATAGCTGTGTAAGCATATATCATGTGACGAGTGATCAAGGTCATTAAGCCCCTGGCGCTCCGTCACGAACGAAGACAGATACGAATGAATGAAACAATTGTTATTGAGTTACCTCAAACAAAGAATCCATAGGAAATATTCCGACATTAAGATTACTCCAGAATACTCAAGGATATAAGTCCCTTCATGTCTAATAGTGATCTATACTCTAACGTTCAAGCTTCCTGTGCTCTATCAAGATGTGAAGCCATATAAGAATAATGGTCCTCCATAGACCAAGACTCGAGTTTTGTACAATATGCCATGGTTTACCCCTCGCGGCTTTACATAGCATCCTAGTTTTGTTGCCAGAGATGGTCGATTGTTGACGAGATAAATTCCCGTTCGTAATGGATAATTGTCAGGCACAATACCTGAGGCGTGCGCAGCGCTGAGGAAGGATAGCTCATAGGAACGCAGAGGGCTTTCTAGAGAAGTGGTTAAGGGGAATGCGGGGGGTCGTTCTAGATAGAATAGCCGGAGGTGACAGAGGATGAGAGTGAGATATGATTAGAATTAAGTAACTATTCCTAAAGATAGAAAACAAAGCGTAAAGCTCTCAGTCTTGGAGATGAAAACTACTTAATTCACCTCACTGCGCAACAAAGCCTAGCAGGATTAAAAACATGGAACCGGTTAGCCCTGACTAAGACAATTCTTCAGAATCCAGACAATAAGACTACTTAATCAATCACTGAAGTAAATTTATACACGGTTTAACAAAGTTATAGGACTCGCGTGAGAAAGATAGGCTCGTCATTGATGAGAAGTAATCAACTCTGGATATGCTTGGGATTGATTTCGACTTCGACTCGGATGCGATCCTTCTTGGCTATCCTAGATATGCAGAATTTACCGGGCGATCACACCGGCATCACTGGAAGGTGAAAATATGTCTTTGCTGGCGCTGGATAGGTGATTTTGACATGTTTTTTACCCAGTCCAGCATATGAGTTGACAATGCCTGGAGCTACGAACGGATAGAAATAATAGAGGATCATACAAACTAGCCATCAACGTCGCACATGACAAACTTGTTATTCAAAATTAATTAATGGTATTGTCATCTTGCTAGGACATGTCAATAGGTGCGGATTCACACTAGAGAACTTTTCATTCATCTTAGTCTGCAGCCTCTCATGTTTCTTCGTAGAATAAAGTATCCGATTTTTCAGCAGAGTTGTTGTCTTTCATCTCATCTGCATTAATATTTGATTCTTCTAGATATTAAGTCTACTTCCGGAAGAATTCTAGAATTTAAGCTTTATGTACTAACGCCCATCAGATTGCATTCAGCGTCTAAAACGAGCCAGATGCTTATTCCGCCTAAGTTTTTAGCTCGTGTAATCTGTGAATCTAGCAATTTACATACCGCGAACAAAATTCTCAGGCATTCTTAAGGGCCAGCTCAGTATCGGCTTATGTGGCATGGTCTCGAAGGTCGTTAACATTGGATATCCCATATTCAAATTTGCACCCATCTGTTTTTCTGTGAAAACTTTGCAAGCTATTTGTAGATTACTTTTCAACATAGCAGCTGATAAGTGGACTCCTTTGTAATTTATGTCATTCAGCGGTTCATTACCTATATCTGGCTCTCTCTCTAAGAAAACTTTCATCCTGTGTGCATCATCAAGACTGCGGAGCTCGGAAAGTGGCTTCCAGCCTAAGAACCCTTTTCGTGATATGCCGATTACTTCCTTGTTAGGATTAACTATCAAGCGACGCCTGCATCTTTCAGTTGCTTTAGTTTTATTAGAAATAATGTTACAGTGATGAGTTCGGAGCTTACACATCTCAATACCTCTGGAACCGAGATGAATTGTCTGAGCCAGAACTCCTGCCTTTACATTCATCATATGGATCGGGTAGTGGCTTAAAAGATTTTTTCTATTTGTGGCATGGTAGAATTTTCTAAAGTTCGATTCGACGAATTCTTCGACTGCATTCTTCAGGTAAATTTCATCTTCAAACCTGTATCCGTATAGCGGCAGACTTTTCCATGGTACATTGTAAATTTTTAAATTATAAGCTATCTCTAGTTCTTCAGCTTCCATTAAATGCAGACAAGGTTTGGGACCATTAGGCTCTATTTGAATAAGACCGACAATTCGGCAACTGGAATCAAAAACAACGCGATTTATACCGTAATCCTCTAAGATTCAAATCAGAAATTTGTAAAAATAAGCCTTCAATTGTTAAGTGATTTAGGAAGTGATAATATTCGTGCAAATACATACCTCGTAAGACATTTTCTGATGTAAATACAGGCCACGTAAACAACACAATATTTGTTAGATCAAATAATTCCGATTCAATGAAAGATGCGGGAAAACGACTTGTGGGTGGTGCGAGCTCCATTTGTTTACAGCCAAGCTGAACAGCCTTTTGCGCTTCATCCATTGAAATAAAATTGAGTTTGCATTTAAACATTTCTGTATAGCTTTTCCGCGGTGCTGGCCTCGCGGAACATGATGGAAGAAGAATTAAAATAGATAATACTGTCCATGCTATCATGTTAGGATATCGAGACACTCTTGTTGAAACTTTGGAATCATAAAGCATGAGATAAGATGGCCCAAGTATTTTAGATATGATGTAGTAGGTAAATAAATCCTGATATCATCTTGAAGGGCCAGATCAGAATGAAATAGCTAGTTACCACTCTACACTATTTTTGAGATTGATGAGAGTGCTTGACTCGAAGTCAAATTCTAAAAAATTATTTCGTGTTGGCAGAGGTAATGCTACGAGTCATTTATCGCGATTCTTAAGGATGATGTGGGCAGCTTATCAAAAACTTCGTGCTTGGATTGGTCCTAGTTTGCTTTTACATCGCATTCATTGCAAATTTTTGAAAAGGGACGAATAATCAAAGCCCATCAGCGGTGGTTCCTACAAATCACTTGCTCTCATTGAAGACTCTGCAGACCCAGGGCTGAGTAACACCTTTCTCACATTGATGAGTATTCCTAGGCGCTGTATGGTCTTCAGGTCCTTGCCATCATCATGAAGCTAGTCACGATCAGACTAGATTGCAGGGTCGAAGCCCTACTAAATACCCACCTCTAATCACGGAGAAGAAGCCTTCTGATGGGTTTTTGGAGCGTATCCAGCACCTGATACGGTGATAGTGGATTGGATCAAGTTGGCCCCTAATGTTACAAAGAAGGGAGATATACATGGTCTTGAGATCGGTGCTTCCGGTTATAGTAAAGACAGCGATGTGTTGATTTCATAAAACCAATCTCACACTAATTCTGAGGTCAGTATTGATGCGTTAGAACGTAAATACTAACCACTGGATGGCGATGAGAAAGAAAATATATTTTTTAAATAATTTGTCACTCATAGTTGTAAATTTATATTGGATACAGACGGATGATAATAGCCGCCGGATGTAGGGACGAAAACTCGATATCTACCAATGTTTTTCTCTTCAAACCTTCAGCTTTTACTATAGAGTCTGCTGAGCTGAAATTGAGTAACACTTTTACAACTTTAAGCTGAATTGTCTTCCTCTCCATGAAGAATACGCTTCCGATAATTCCTACCACGGGAATGATGCTAGGAATGAGAAAGGATATTGCAGTACCAAACGCTAGAATGGTAGTCAGAAAAGCCCTCGTCATATCACAACATGTTCTACCCACAGACGGGCGAAAAAATCCCATGAAAGCAAAGTAAAAGACCCTTCTGCCTTAAAGGAAATCAGATTTCGACTTGTCAATATTATCGTCCCTTCTAACCCTTAATTTGGAATTCACTAGCCAGGAGGGCATCTGAGATACATGAGGCACTGGACAACCCGACTCATGTAACGACTTTTGGATTCTTGTCTTGGCTTCTTTATGGCAGTCACTCTTGACCAAGACTTTTTTGACAAACTTTTTCGACCTTCGGTTTGCCTTGAGGCTAGAATCAGAATCAGAGTAAGGAGGAGGAGGAGGAGGAGGAGGAGGCTAGAAAGCTTTAGAAAGGCTCTTAACTATGTATAGATCTGCTATGCCGGGCTGGCTAGTCTCTTCGTAGTAGGAGAGCCCCATACTCGTTGTTTTGTGAGATCTTTCCCTACAGCTACGCACACGTAAATGGCCATAGTTTCGTTGACTGGAGAGGGAAGAAAATGACGGGATAACAGCTCCTCTTAGCATTTACTCGAATGAAAACCTATTGAGGTATTATCGCTAGAAAGAAGTCGCAAAGAAGGCATAGGAGAGTGTACACTATCTGAGATATAGATACTCCCTGCCCGTAGACAGAAAGGACCTACACGTCCTTTGATGGTCATAGATTCAATAGGACAATAAACATAAACCAATAAACATAGACCGCGAAGACAAATGTCGTCTTAATCTACGATCTATTACCGTAATTTCCACCATTCTCACCCATGCCATCCCAGTCCTCTGTAGAGACTAAATCTTGACCTCCCCTTTCCAACAGCAAATTCGAGGCGTCTTAATGTTGAAACGGTTCACACAGGGCCGCCGAAATATTTAAACAATAAACAACAAACCGTAGAGCTGATCTACTAGGCGACCTGCCAAGGCTCGAGCCCAAGCCCCAACGTATCATTGAGTGTTACCATGACTAACTTCCTCGTAGTTGAAGCGATCACTTTCGACCTGTGACTCGCAGAGGCAGAGCGCGTCGTCAGTGGGTACATCAAACTGTTGGTACAAACAACCGACCAACTGCTTTGTCGAGTTGTTGAAGACAATGGAGAGGTTTTACAGGCCATAATAACAGAAATACTGCGTGGAAACCCCAGCCAGCTCCGAGGTAATGAGTTATCAGAAGCTGCCAGTGGCAGCAAAACGACACACCTTCCCGCGCGGGCTACCAAAGCTGGAGTTAAGACAAACGCGAGCACTCCACGACCAGTGCAGATTTTCGGGACAGTAAATGTTGGTAGGCTTTAAACCTGCACGACTATATTGGGGGCTTTGATTTAAATTTGAAATATTTAACGTGACAGGACGGACCCTACATCTATCTAGTGTTAAAGTTATGAGCTTGAGCGAAGATGGAGGTTCTAGCGGAATCAGTGTCGGCGGTTAGACCGATGCAGTAAGTCTTGTATGAGGTTGTAAGAGGAAGATTCGAGTGGAAACAATTGTATTTAGATGTATGGTTCTTATCGACATTGAACTTGTTGTCGATATTGTATATGTATGTCTGTCATCACAGACATTGGAAATAATTCATGAGATTGCTTAATGAGTGGCTAGATTTGATTCTGATATAATATTGTAGAAGACTTGTCCCAACTATTAGAGGGCTACAACGTCTTTGTGACGGGAAACCCGAGTTGATGATGATAATGTCGATTTAATAAACTGTATAAAGAAGAAAGAGAAATCTAGCTACAACTAACGGGTATTTATAATATTCAGCCCCTCAGTGATTGTCTTGACTGATTTCTTCACCCTAGGCCGAATACTTGCCACCCAGCCACATATTATCAAGAATCACTACGCTGTGACACTGATCTGGCCCCTTGGCTGGTAGTGCCGTATCTTCCAGTTTCCTCTATCATTTCCTTACAGTCTTACAACATGAATCTTCAACAATACGCTTAGGTATCCACATAAGCTCAGACAACGGCCAAACCGTGACAGTCTTTATCTATCTACAGGTAAATCCCCCATATTCCAACCACGCTAGCCATACAGGACGTAGCATGTAAGACCTGATTCGTATCATCATTTTGGGGTTGAGGTTTACCGTGCATATGCAACTCGAGCCGCATGTCTGACTACTATGCAACACGCTTAGGTATCAATCTAACAACCCACACCAAACCAAAACTACTCACAATCCTGATGATGACCTCATGAATAATTGGAATAGGAGCCTGCAACGTAGCACAATTAGGCTAGACATTGTTGACCAGGACCTAATCCGAACAGGTTCAGAGTAAAACCGAGGTGATAAGAGTGAGATTGTGAATTCGCATATCTTATCAACTGTTGTCAAACTAATCGAGACCCGCATATTAGGCTGAATAAAGCTGATAAGGAGGCATACCCAATCAACCGTGCATTACACATTGTGTCTATTATTATCCCCATGCAGTCATTCTTTGTTTGTTTGTATTTAGGTTATCATCTGGAATTTTATACTATAATTGGTTATGCCTGCATTTTACTGTTTGCGATATTAGCGCTCATTATGTTTCATCTTGTATTTAAGATTAGATAACAAACACTGTTTTTAAGGCTGGAGGGGGAGATTACATGGTCTGGACTATGCAAACTTACTGAAATAAGACGAGCGAATTTGTACTTAAAGAGAAGGAGAATCATGGAGGATAGAGCAATCAATCATCTTTCTTTCCCTTCTCTCTGAGAAAACATCGAAGTCCCAATCCTGTGACAACTGTGGTTTTTGACCAGTATTTATTAATCTCCATGGATTATAAGATATGATCCCTGTGGATGTAGATCTATGTACATACACATATATGGGCCAGGAATATAAAGCTAAATACATGTGTGTTGGTAATAGATACAAGAAAACTATAACCTGCATTTAAGACATAGTCATCTGCTGGAACTCTAGTGTGAAATAAACACTAATTTATTAAATTAGGAGGCCTTCTATAGCTGTATAACTGTAGAGAAGACAATAGAATTATCACAGTGGAAGGAGGTCAGATAGAATGAGAAGCGATAGTGAGCTATTTTCAAAATAGTGCCAGACAATAACTACAAAGTACAAGTTTTCTCCATGCAACTGATCTACATGAGTAGCGTTATTGACGCGACTCCTAAGCTTGACCTTGACTGGCTCGGCAAGTTCCTACACCAACCAGACACACCTTGTCATTTAACATAATGTTCATTAAACTTTTGGTGAAGGATGTATTGATAATAGTGTTATAGAATAGGGGATTTGATGGTCTAATTAGCCGGACTTACAAATAAGTTATTCTTGGCATTCCTAGATATATCATATTTCAACATTTAGACGTGACACAGGTAGATGAGCTCTGAGAGCTCATTGCTACCTATATGACCAGCATTTAAGCCAGAAGCGACAAAAGAAATAAAAAGGAACAATAAATGACCGAGTTACAGTGCCCTGCGCTGCATCCCTATCTTCCAAGCACATCTCCTCTCGAGTTGGAATTCGTCTCAGCGTAGTCACCTCCCACCCTGTTCATTTTTCGGCAGACTGTAGCATCTGCTAGTGGTTAAGAATTGGATGAACTTCTGCCATCCCTTCTCACCTATCATTTCCCTGGCCCCAGGCGAGGCCTTTTTCTCACAGCTTCTTCAATGTTGCAAAGCAAGTCGGCACTCTGAAAAATGCCAGGGCCTTTTCTCTCGGCCGCAAACGCACTTCAAATCTTCATGTTCGGGGTTGAAACGCCGGTGGTAGTTGGTGTAGTCCCCGCGGCCAGCTCTTGCCGCAATAAGACAATGATACACTCATCTTGGTAAAGCTAGTTCCGGTGGTTGTTTGCAGCGTATGAAGGGGTCTAGATTGTCATAGGCTGGGGCCTAAGGCACCTAAAGCTAGGTTATGGATGAACAAGCTAGGTTTGTTACAAGCAT